TGCACGCCTGGGTGAAGGAAATGCCCCCCTGGATGTGGGCAGTGCACCCCTGAGCACGGACGAGGGGTACATTCAATGCCCCCCTTGAAGGGGGCGATGCATCCCCGGCACCCGCGGCTCGGGCAGAGCATCAGTGAGGGGTGCTCGGCTCTCTCCGCCCCCCTCTCTCCGCAGGGCGCCCCTCGCCGCGACCGGGGCGCCCTCCCCGGCGGCGCCATTGGCCCCGGTGCGGTTTGAAGCAGGCGTGCGGCGCGGATTGGCCGGGGCATTGTCGGGGAGGCTCGGCGGCGGCGGAGGCGTGGTGACCGCCTTCAAATAGGCAGCCCGGAGCCGGGGGCGCAGCGAGTGCGGTACCGCACAGCCGGGGCTGCCTTTGTCTGCCGTGGGGCCGGGGCGCGGGCAGGGGCAGCATCGCCGCCGCTCTCACTCCGGCCCCGCTCTCACTCCGGCCCCTTTCCGCAGCCCTGAGCCCCTCGCTGCCCGTGGCGGCCGCTCCGCCGTGTCCCGGTGCCGGCACGGAGGATGCCCGTCGAGGCGCTGCAAGCCGGTGACACCATGAAGGGGGTGACGGTGACGGCGCCTTTCACCTCGGCCATGCCCGTCCGTATCCTCCGCAAAGGGCCCGCGTATTTCCGCCGGCACGCCGAGCCGGGGGCCGGGAAGCCCAGCGCGGTGGAGAGGCTGGAGGCCGACAAGGCCAAGTACGTGAAGAGCCAGAAGGTCGTCAGCACCAGGCAGGAGCCGGTGAGGCCGCTGCTGCTCAAGCAGCCTCTCTTCACCCCCGGGGTGCGCCGGGCTGTGCTCACCCCCAGCCGCAGGGCACCCCCGGGGCCGCGCCGCGCCGATGCCGCCAGCCCGAAGACCTCCCTTGACCTGGAGATCCTCAACAACCTCATCAACCTCTGTGACAGCCCCTTCCCTAAGGCGGAGAGCCCGCTGGGCAGGGAGTGCAGGTGGCGGGCGGAAGCTCCAGCGACGGAGGGGGCTGTGAAGCCACCGGAGAGCCCGGCCACCCCCAAGCCCCCCGGCAACGTGGCCGTGCGCAGGGTGGACGTCCGTCCCTGCGGAGCTCCGCGGAGCCCGGTGACACCGCTGCCCGCATCCCCCATCCCCGGTGGGCTGCCTGTGACCCCGTCCCGGAGCTCGCCCGCCCGCCCGGAGAGCGCCCGCCGGCAGCCGCTGCTGCACCGCTCCAAGTCGGACCTGAGCGATCGCCTCTCGCGGGCCACCGCCGACCTGGAGCGCTTCTTCAACTACTGCGGCCTCGACCCCGAGGAGATGCAGGACATGGGGGCCGAGCGCTTCGCCCGCGCCAGCTCTGACATCGTGTCGCTCAAGTTCCACAGCGTGAGCACGGCCAGCTCGGAGGGCGGCCGCTCGCCGCCCAGCGCCGCCACGCCGGAGGGGCGGCCGGCCGAGCGGGTGCCCTACGGCATCTCCATCATCGAGCGCAACGCCCGCGTCATCAAGTGGCTCTACGGGCTGCGCCAGGCCAGGGAGCCCCAGCAGGTCTCCGATGTGTAGCAGTGCCGTGGTGGGCACCGGGGATGGGTCACTCATAAGTGGGCAGTGCTGGGGACAAAGCGCTGGCTGTGCCCCGGGAGGAGCAGGGACCTCTTGGTGGTGACACAGCATCACTGGCCTGATGTGGCCAGGGATCCATGGTCAGACCCCTGTGCCAGCACTGGAGAACCAGGTCCCCCAAGCCCATGGGAAGGCAGAGGACACGTGTCCCTGGGTGTGTGGCTGGTCCTCAACACCCACAGGGCCTCAAGTGTGGCTGCCCTGCCTGTCCTGCTGGCAGCTCCTGCCTGTCCTGCTCCTCACCAGCATCCCAGGGTGGGGTGCAAGGGGCTGGGTCCCCCTGCACGGAGCAGGGACACTGTACCCGTGAAGGAGCTGCCCCTTGCAGCCTCCATGGAAGGGGTCCCACTGCCTGGGGTGGTGGCCACGTCCTGGTGGTCCCATCTTATTGCTGAAGAAAAGCCTGGTGCTTTGAGGGGTGAGGGGCAAACCTGACCCCCTGCTTCAAGCTGCCCAGGGCTGTGTGTCTGTGTGAGTGTCTGCGGGTGCCTGTGTTCCCCTTCCCGGCTGCCAGCGGGCAAGAAGCCCCCACCATGCTGGGCCTGGTATTTATGAAGACAACAGTTCCTCTTTTCTACTCTTTTCCTTATGTTTGATCTGTAAATAATAATAATAATTATAATGCAGCCAGTTTTATTAAATGCCTGTGTTTTGGAGGCTGTGTGTTTTCTCTTGAGGCGGTGGAGTTTGGGATGGTACAGGGACTCTTGGGGTGCTCTGCAGGGCTGTGGGTGTTGAGTGGCAGTGGATTTTGGGATGGGACAGGGACTCCTGGGGTGCTTTGCAGGTCTGTGGGTGCTGAGTGGTGGTGGAGTTTGGGATGGGACAGGAACTCTTGGGGTGCCTGTAGCTCTGCAGGGCTGTGGGTGTTGAGTGGCAGTGGATTTTGGGATGGGACAGGGACTCCTGGGGTGCTCTGCAGGGCAGTGGGTGCTGAGAGGATGGGTGCTGGGAGGCAGTCACGGGTTCCAGGCTGCAGCGTGCCAGCGCGGGGCCCGGTGGGCACGGCAGGGCGGAGGTTGGGTCTGGCAGGTCCCGGCAGAGCCCCAGCTGCTGGGATTCCCCTCTGTGCCACGCACCCTCCCCTGCCTCCTTCCCTCCCTGCTGCAAAGCTTGGCCAGGTCCCGGCTCTCCAAGAACTGGAGATGGGGGTGGCAGTAGCAGAGAGCTCCCAGGTGGGCTGGGATGAAAGCGGGAGCAGGGAGAGCTTTGAAGATGAAAAGCGCCCGTGGTTCTCCCAGGGCAGCCTCACAGGGCACCACAGCTCTCCTGGCACCTGTGCCCTGCAGTCACCGTGCTCCTGATGGCCCGTGCAGCCAGGTGTCTGCTGGGGAAGGTGACATCAAAGCCACCAAAGCACCTGCATCCAGGGACTCCACGTGGAGCTGGGCCTGCTGCTGCCTCCCTTCAGTGACAGCCCCCAGCAGCTGCAGGCCAGGGCAGCACCATGGGCTCTTGACTGGGGCTTCCATCCAGCACTGGGGGCCCCCAAAAAAGCTGTCATAAAGAAGAATTTACCACCCCAGCTTGATTTCTGGGCTGTTGTGTGTCCATACAGATCCCCTGCTTAGGGTGCAAGATCCACGTGACTCCTGCTGGGTTATTGTCAGGTCCTGCTGCTGGGAATGTGGAGGGCAGGATGTGGTGTCAGGACGTGGTGACAGGATACGAGGATGGCATCTGGCTGTGAGTCAGGCTGATGAAGTGACACGCACACCCAGGGGATCCTTAATGATGGCACATGGAGCACTGGGTGCCTCCCCAGGGAAAACACCCCGGAAACCAGAGGGTGACGGGGACCCTGGGCAAAGCCTGGGGACAGGCTTTGCCCTTGGGGAAATCTCTGAGGGAACCAGATCCTCACTGGTGGCTGGGACCGGCTGTGCTGCTGGATTCCTCAGCGTGGTGTGTCCCAGGGCTTGGTCTAAATTTGTTGCTATTGCTAAGGAGAAGCAGGGGGGGCCCACCAGTCCCCAGCCAGGCAAGGTCTGAGCAGCCACATGTCCCTCAGGTGCTGCCAGTCCTTGGTGTGGCTCTGGTGTCCCATGCCCTGCATGACTGGGACCTGCCATGGCCATTCAAAGCCCTGCGTGCTCACGTGTGCATGCAGGATGTCCGTGTGTCTGTCCATGTGCACACGTGTTTGTGAGCAGTATTTCGATGTGCACACACAGATGCACACACAGCAGCCTTGTTCCTGAACCAGGAGTCTCCATCTGACCCCCACCCATGGGACTGCCAGCATGAAACCCTGGCACAGACACGTTCAGACACACGTGTCCCCCCCAGAATGCCCCCCCGTTGCATGTCCCCATTGGGGACAGCAGGACAGCCCCAAAGTCCCTATCACTTTCCCTGGCAGCTGCTTCCCGGTGGCTCAGGTTTCGTGGGGAGCACAGCTGAGGCCATCAGTTATTTATATTATATTATTTCCAGGGAGGAGGGACAGCCGGGGAAACGTCCATCACCCTCACCCTGTGCGCTGAGATTCCCCACGGGTGCCCCATGAGCAGGCAGGAGCTGCAGGCAGGCAGCCAGCACAGAAGGAAAACCGGCAGCACCGCCCCCCGTGTTTTCCATTTTTTAATTATTCCCCACTGATGAGCATCTTCTGGAAGCGCCAACAGCGTCACGTGCTTTAATCAGCGTTAATTAGCGGGTGCCTCGGGACAGTGATGAGGGCAGGCAGCAGGAGCCCCCCCTGCTGCGTGCACAGCCGGTGTCAGTGCCAGCACCCAGCACCCAGCACCTCCCACCCCTCTAACCCACAGCCCCCTCCCCATCCACAACCCTCAGCCCCTTCCTGCCAGTCCTGGGGCCCTGCCAGCCCCTGCCACTGCGGTGTCTGCTCCCAGCAGGGCCTTCCACAACTGGCCCACTGGCCATCCCAGGTCCCCACAGAGGTCCCCAAGGACATCCCCTGCTCTTCCTGTCCTCTGTGAGAACTGGAGAAGCCCAGCTCCATCCCGTGAGGAGCAGTGCCTGTCCTGCCATACACGGGGACAGTGGCTCGGGCCATGCTTGGAAGGGGACAGCCTGTGGCCCTCTGCATGGCTGCATCTGGATGAAAGGGAAGGAGGGACCACCAGCCTCCATGCTCATCAGGATTCCTGTCCCATCCAGCTCCTCTAATCCTGCAGGAAAGTGGGATGGTGGGGGATTTACAATATCCAAAACCAGTGAAAAGGCAAAGCCCCCATCACGTCTGGGGTCCCTTTGAATGCACATGGTCCCAGGGGTTCTCAGAGCCCCTTCACTGGGGAGGGTCTTGGAGCCCTGTCCCCAAGATCAAACCCTGAGGCCCAGCAGAAATTCGTGGAGAGAAGCTGAGGTGAGATCAAGGGGTTTCCATATGCTGGAGCCCACTTTGGCAGGTCTGGCCTTGTCCCACTCCTGCAGCTCCTGCAGCTCCAGCCCACGGTTCCTCCAACATGGCCGTGGTGACACTGCAGACTTCTGAAAAATGGGATAAACAAGAGTAAAAAATAAACTCATGGCAAAGGTTCCCTGCAGCAGCTGGGACATCTCAGCCCCAACCATCCCTTGTCCCGGACTTGTCTGTCAGTGCTGGCACTGCCGTGGGCACGTCAGAAGCTGGAGGGTCGGATCATCATGCGGGTGCCCTTGAGGGAGTAGCTGGGCCCCTGGAAGTGGTGCCAGCGGATGCCGTTCAGCTTGCGGATGTTGTTCCTGGCCGGGTAGTAGATGCCATTCAGGTTGGAGAGGCCACAAGCATCAAACCACCATCCTGTGGGAAGGGACAAGGGCAGGGAGGTGGCATCGCAGGCTGGCACCCACGGGTGCTGCGCGGGGGTGTCCCCCTGCTCCACTCACCTCCCGAGAGCATCTGGGCACACTTGCACAGGCAGTTGTCGTTGTCGGCGTCACGGGTGCTGAACTGGGTGCCCTGCAGTGCCAGCCCACTCTGCTGCCCAGCTGTGCCGCTGTAGTCCTGAAGTGACAGCCTGCGCCCACAGGACACAGCCACTGTCACTGCCGGCTGCCGGGGGGTCACAGAGCCCAGCACTGCTCAGGGGCTGCCATGAGCTGGACACAGCACAGAGGGATGGGCAGAGATCCTGCAGTGCCAGCCTGGCCTCCTGTCCTTGGCCCCCAAGATGGGGGCTGTGGAATGCTGGGGCAGGGAGGACCCCCCAAGTCTCCTCCAGTCCCCTTGCTGGGGGTCAGCTCGGTGCATGCATGGCATGGATGGTGCAGGGCATGGATGGTGCATGGCATGGATGGTGCAGGGCATGTCTGGGGGCTGCTTCCACCTCCAGCCCAGCAGTGAAGGCCCTCAGCTGCTTTCCACCCTCCTGCCCATGGCCAGGAGCACATGGTCATGGCAAGCTGAGCATTAGGAGCACAGCATCCCTTCGTGGACTTCAGCCTGGGGATGCCCAACACCCTGGGAATGCCTGGTGGCCACAGCTGTGTCACCTCCCTCAGTGCAAGTGCCCAAGTTTCTCCCACTGGGATGGCAAATCCCACTGCCTTGATGCAATTTTATCCATTAAAAATCTGCTTCTCAGAAGCTCAGGGAGAGATGAAATTGTCACAGCAATGTGCCTGGCACCTGGCATCACAACTACACCAGGACAGCCCAGTGAAGCCCCAGGTGATCCTGCACCTCCCACACCCAGCCCTGCCCCCTGGGCACTGCTGCCCGCAGGGCTTGGGGACAGTCAGAGATGGGGAGTGCTGGGTGGCTGATCCCACAGGCTTGGGGACAGTCAGCGATGGGCAGTGCTGGGTGGCTGATCCCACAGGGTTTGGGGACAGTCAGCGATGGGCAGTGCTGGGTGGCCGTTCCCACAGTGCCTCTCCCCTACCTGTAGAACTGCCGCTCGCTGCCCAGCTGGAATTTCCCGTAGTGGGCATACACCTGGCCGCCCTCCCAGTCCTGCAGCTCCACCCGCAGGGTGTAGGGCACCCGGCTGGTCAGCAGGTGCACGGCCTCATTCCCCAGCCAGTACTCCCCCGACGCGTCCCCAAAGCCCTGTGGAGCAGCGGGGCGGGTGAGTTCAGGGTGCCTGGGGTGCCCCCAGGGTGTCCCCAATCCCCAGTTAGACACACACCTGCTTGTACTCCCTCCAGCTCCTCTGGAAGCTGAGGCTGCCGTTGGTACGGAGCTGGATGATGGTCCAGCCCCCTCGATCCGTGTCCATGTCACAGAATGCCTGCAAGGGAGAGAGGGACAGCTGGGGGTGGCTTGGAGTGCGGTCCAGGTGCATCCCTGACAGGCTGGGCAGCTCAGTGTGGGTGCCCTGTGGGTGCTAGAGCTGCCTGAGGGGCTGACGAGGGTGTGCTGTGCCCAGTGCCTGGCTGAGGGGTCTCTCCTCCCTCCATGGCCGTGGGCAGGGGCTGGGGTCTGGTGCTTATAAAACTGCCTAAAATCAGTTTTATGTCCCCATTTGGAAGGATGTGCCAGCCCTGCTTTCATCCTGTGGGTGCTGCCTTCACCCCTGTGCAGCCCCCAAGGCTGGAAGGGGATGGGGTGGGGAAGCTGCCCTGGGATGTGCCAAGCAACAGAGGGATTGGTGTGGGGCTGGTGTGCTGGGTGGGCAACACTCCAGGGTGGGGCAGGGAAGCCCTCTCTGGGCTGTGCTCACCTTTTTGGGCTCGCTGAGGTTGGCAATGTGCAGGGTGTAGATGCCGCTGGCATGGATGCCCGCCCGGCGCACCTCGGCACAATCCTGGAATTGCTGCTCCTGCCCAGGTGACGTGGCTGTGGCAGAGGGAAAAGTGAGAAGGCAGAAACTGTGATGGCCCTGCAGCCCTGACTGATTTTGCTGCTCTTCCCTCTCCCTTTGTGCTCACTGATTTTTTTTTTATCTTCTGTGCCATCTCCTGAGGGCTGAGCAAGGCAGCTGTGCCAGCCTCACCCCTGGGGGTTTGCCATGGCTGGGAATGGCATCAGGCTATGGACCCAGCCCTTGGGGCTCCAAGCTGCTCCTTGGTTGCGACGAGTGGATCATTTTCTAGCGGAAGGTGTTCCTGCCCATGGCAGGGTGTTGGAATGAGAGGAGCTTTGAGATCCCTCCCAAACCCAAACCATTCTACCACTGAGTGATTCTGTGATTTTGAGGTGAAGTCACTCAGGCTGAGCAGACCACAGAGGGCACCCTGGCTCGCTGCTGGGAGGACACGGAGCTTTCCCGGTGCCCCCGCTGTGGGGGTGCCCCCGCTCACCTCTGCCCTGCGACACGAGGCGCACCAGGCTCTGGACGGACTGGAGGAGCTGGAGCTGCTGCCGCTGGAGCAGGCTGGTGTTGGCACTGGCAGCCAGCAGCGTCTTTTCCATCTCCTCGATGGCGCCGCTCTGCCGGCTCAGCAGCCGCTGCAGCTTCTCCTTCTCCGAGTGGGCCCCCGCCAGCTCCGCCTGCTGCTTCGTTTCCATCTCCAGCACCCGCCCCTCCAGGATGCTGGGAGTGGGATGCAGCGGTGATAGGGTGGCAGAGCGGTCCCAGCGTGTCTGCAGGGACCCACTGCTGTCCCCATCCCCTGCTGCACCCCCTGAATTGCACCCTCACTTCTGGGACGTGCCCAGCCAGGGGAACCCAAAGCCCGGTGGCCGTGCTGGGGCTGTGCAACCCCCCAGCGACCACAGCCAGCACCTGGAGGGGTTCAAGCCCCTCAAAGTGCAGTGTGAGGTGGGAGAGACCAGCCTCCCTGTGGGGCCCAAGGGCCGTGGGGGTCCCTGAGCCGCCCCAGCCCCTACTTGTTTCTGTTCTGCAGCTTGTGGATCTCATTGGTCTGCAGCAGCAGCTGCTTCTCCAGCTTGGCGGTGGACAGGAAATTCTCCTGGAGCTGCATCTCGATGCGCCACGTCTGATTCAGCACCTGCCTCGGGAGCAGAGGGGACCCTTGGCATCGGCACCAGGGCCACACCGCACCCGAGGTGTCACCAGGCTGGCCGGTCTCCGGCACACAGCCCTGGTACCTCCACAAGGGGGGCATTAAACCCTGGGTCACCTCGGGGCATCGCTTTTATCTGCAGACAAACCGTGCCAACCACCAGGTCTCAGGGTGGCAGGGACATGGGGACACACGAGCTGTACCTCTCAAGGTGGCAGGGAGATGGGGACACACGTGCTGTACCTCTCAGGGTGGTGGGACATGGGGACATGCATTCTGTACATCTCAGGGTGGTGGGAAGTGGGAACACACGTGCTGTACCCCTCAGGGTGGCAGGGACATGGGGACACACATGCTGTACCTCTCAGGGTGGTGGGATGTGGGGACACATGTGCTGTACCTCTCAGGGTGGTGGGGACGTGGGGACACACGTGCTGTACCTCTCAGGGTGGCAGGGACATGGTGACACGCATTCTGTACCTCTTAGGGTGGTAGGAAGTGGGAACACACATTCTGTACCTCTCAGGGTGCTGGGGACATAGGGACACACATGCTGGACCTCTCAGGGTGGTGGGGGCACATGTGCTGTACCTCTCAGGGTGGTGGGACATGGTGACACACATGCTGTACCTCTCAGGGTGGTGGGACATGGTGACACCCGAGCCGTACCTGTGCCTCCACGTCGGTGAGCTTGCGGCTCTGCTCGGCGCTGCGGTTCAGGAGGGAGCTGCCCATCTCCAGCATGGCCGCCGTCTGGTTCTGCACCGCCGCCTGCTGCAGCTCGGCCACCTCCGGCTTCACGCTGCTCTGGATGTAGCTCTCCAGCTGTGCAGGGAAGGGAGGATGCAGGGGTCATTTGGGCACCTCTTTGGGTTCTGTCTCAGCGTCCCAGCTGAGCCTGGCACCGCTGGGCAGAGCCCTCAGGCACAGCCCTGTGTCTCCACAAGGCTTGACCCACCTCGGGGCCCTTGGAACCTTATCAGAGGACAGAGCGAGCTGAGCTGCTGCAGGGGAGGCTCCTCAGGCACCGGCTGCCAAGATTCCTGGGCTGTGGTACCAGCTGGGGCCTGGCATGGGCTCCTGTATGCCCAGGTGTGCTGGCGAGCGGGGGCTGATGCCCAGCCAGGGTTGCCTGTGCCAAGCAGCCGGGCAGGGAGTGGCTGGCACTGCCATCAGCACCAGTTGCCAGCCCCAAGCACTGGGATACAGAGGGTGAGGGGACACGGTCAGCCAGGGACGGTCAGTGTCCGGCACCCCGTGCTGCCCCACCGCGTGTGAGTGCTCGGGGCTGGGAAGAAGCTGCGGCTGCGAACACGGCTCGGACACAGCTGAGACGACGCTTCCGCTTTCCCAGCCCGCGGGGGAGCCGCCTTTCCCAAAGGCTTTGCTATTTCTGGCAGCCCCGCCATGAGGTTCCCATTGAGCCCCTCCCCAGGGCGATGGCCTCGCTGGGGGCACGGTCCCTCGGCGGGGCCGCGGGCAGCGGAAGGGGCCGCCCACGCTGGGAAAGCAGCCCCGGAGAGCAGGGGGGACAGGGGCTGCCCCGCTCCCTGCATCCCGCAGATCCTGCTCCCTGCCTAAGCTCCCCGTGGTGCAGGCAGAGCCCCACATCCCCCTGCATCTTGCGGGGTTGTGGAGCAGAATCAGCAGGGTTGGGATGCGGCTCTATTCCCCTGCATCTTGTGGGGTTGTGGAGCAGAATCAGCAGGGTTGGGATGCTGCTGTCTGGGCAGTGTGGAAAGCAGGCAGGGGTGCTGGGATGTTGTGCACTGTGGTGGGAATGCAGGGCTGCTGGGATGCTTGGCACGGTGACAGGCAGGCAGCAGTGCTGGGATATTTGGCACCATGGAACACCAGGCAGGCAGTGCTGGGATGTTTGGCACCATGGAACACCAGGCAGGCAGCAATGTTGGGATGTTTGGCACCATGGAATACCAGGCAGGCAGAAATGTTGGGATGTTTGGCACCATGGAATACCAGGCAGGCAGTGCTGGGATGTTTGGCACCATGGAACACCAGGCAGGCAGTGCTGGGATGTTTGGCACCATGGAACACCAGGCAGGCAGTGCTGGGATGTTTGGCACCATGGAATATCAAGCAGGCAGCAGTGTTGGGATACTCAGCGTGGGAGTGGGGCCAGCAGAGGGCCAGGGCACAGGGCTCTGCACTTGTCTGGCATGATGAAATCTCACTGCTCCCTCCTCCTCCTCCGCACCAGGCAGTGGCAACACCATCACCCCACGCTGAGCATCCGTGTGGGGCAGGAGGGTCTCGGGGCAGGAAGGTCCCAGGGCTGACCATCCCAGGCAGCCCTGCCTGCACCCGTTTCCCTGGGGATTTTCCCTCGCAGGAACGTGCTCTCAGGGAGGAAGCAGGGAAAGGTCGGGAAGCCGCGTCTGGAAAACATTTCCCCGAGCTGAGGGATTGCTGGAGAGTTTCCCTTTAACCACGTCGTTAATCTTGTTGCTTCACAGGGCTTGGGGAGGCCTTTTCTCCCTCTCAATCTTGCCTCTTGTTTTTTTTTTTTTTTTTTTTTTTTAAACAAACATATCTGTGAGCTGAGGGCAGAACATACCCAGAGAAAAGGTCAAGCTGGCATGTGGAAGCTGAGAGCCCTGGAGATGGAGCCCTGGATCCTGGCCCCAGCAGCTCCCTGGGAGCTGGAGTGGGGCACAGTGTCCCCAGGCATGTCTGGCATAGGGGACACAAGTGGGGCAGGCTCTGAGCCAAGGACATGGAATCCGGGATCCCCCCTCTTCCATCTCATGGGTGCTGATGTGAGCTGGGCTCTCCCAGCCTCAGAGACTCCTTTCTGCACCATAAGGGCAGAGCTGCTGTGGGAAAGGCTGTGGTGCTGTTTTGGCCACCCCAGGAGGAAACTCAGCCACCCTCTGTGCCCATGCTGGGATCCCACTGCCCACAGCTGGATCATCCTGTGCTGCCTTCTTGCAGCCACATCCCTCCCCTCTGCCCCAGTTCCTATCCTGCCCTGACATTTCTAAACATTTCACAAGCACCAGCTCAGGAATCCTTGAGTCACAGGTGGGTGGAAAACCCTTCACCTGCTCCCCACACCGCTGCACGCATCCCAGGGTGAGCAGCACCAGCCCCTCAGGCACTTTAGAGCTGCCAAAATGCCGCCGCCCTGCTGGAGACCCCATCCCACCCCGAGTCCCCCCCTAGACCCAGCGGCGCCATCAAGTGTTTGTGTTTGAACTAAAATTAATTCCTCCTGAGACACAAGTGTCCTTGTGTGCTGGGTCCTGGCCATGTCCCCACCACGGGGTGCTGATTGGGGAGGGTGGGTCAGCCCCAGTGCCATGGATGGGGATCCTGGGGGAGGCCCAGGAGATACCTGAGGGGACCTGTGGAACCTCTTGGGTACCAAGAGATCTCCCAATTTCTCAGCACCCTGCAGGGCTCCCCATGCCAGGGCAGAGCAGACGGGGATGCAACGTTGTTTACGAGCTGTCCCTGAACCCAGTGCCTCTTTTGAGCCCTCGTTTGTTTGTTCAGGACTGGAGTCTGACCAAAACAAGCGTTCTTGGGCAGCTCTGCTGAAATTTGGGAAGCTAAGGAACAACAGCAAAAAACAGAGCTGCAAACTGCCTTTAAAAGGAGAGAGCCATGCTGCAGGAGGGGATGGGATGGGATGGGATGGGATGGGATGGATAGAACAGGATGGGGATGGGGAAGGAATGGGGTACTGGCTGCCCAGTGCTCCACTGCCCAGTGCTCCTTGAGGCTGTGGTGAGGGGCATTGCTGCCCACAGCTGTCCACATGTGCAGTCCCACTTTGCCTGTGGCTGTCTGCTCTGGACCGGGCCATGTGCAGCTCAGGGACCCTGTGGTGGGACCCTGATCCCCTGCCTTGCTTGGCCATAGAAAAGCTGCCCTCATCCCAAGAGGGCACAAAGACACCAGAGCACAGGGATACCAAGGCAGGGACCCCAGGGCACAGGGACCCCAGGGCACAGGGACCCCAGGACTCGTGTGCACACAGCAGACCCAGCAGGTTCCACAGTGACAGAGATTCGGTGCCACCAGCCAGGTTGTCACTGGCCCTGCTGACCCCTCTGCAGCACTCTGGGCTGGCTTCCAGCAGAGCCACGGTTCAGCGTTTTCCCAGCTCTTGAGGAATTTGTTCTCTGGGATGGCTGAGGGGACAAGGGGGAACGTCCTGCACGTCCCCGCTGCCTGCAGTGTCCCCCACAGCCAGAGTGGCCCCCCAAGCAGCGTGGCTGGCACAGGCCATCCCCGGGACCCCCACTCAGTGTGTTGGCCCCATCCTGATCCCTGAGTGCTGCATGGGGACATCACCCAGGAAATGGGACTGCAGAGGCACACAGGTCCCATTGCAGCCTGGTGGCACAGCACAGAGCAGGCATGTGGCTCTGCTGGATCAGTGACAGCTGGGGACAAGCCGCTTCTCCTCTTATCAGTGCAGGTACCCAGTGTTCCTGGCACGGGCTGTGGGGCTCAGGGCCCCCGGGGATGTGTCCCTTGGGATGAGCTATTCCTGGGTCTGACGCAGGCAGCTGGTGGGGGCTCCAGGAAGGAAATGCTGCTTCCTGCCTCAGGCATTGGGGACGGGGCGAGCCAGTGTGGGCTGGGGGTGGCAACCCTGTGGGTACACAGCCCCTCTGGGGTGGCACCCCACTGCTCCCACACAAAGTCTCACCAAGTGCTGGGAACTTTTGCAAAGCCTGTAGGAGGGAAAATGATGAAGCTGGAGAGATTTTGGTGGCCCCTACGCTTGGGACCCTCTCTGTACCATTGGCCAAACCCCTTCCCAGTCTGCTCGCCCAGAACTTGGAATGCTGATCCCTGAGGGATGCTTGGCACAGCTAACCCAGCCAGGACCATGAGGAGCCCTATGGCAGGGATGGACAGGGAATACAGCCTCAGTGGGGAGTGCTCTGGGTGAGTGACCTGCAGCACCCGCAGCACCCACAGCAAGCATCCCCTCCGTGCTGCTCCAGCTGCACACCTGCCGAGAAAAGCTGACCTGGATGCTCAGGTGGGCACAGGCCCCAGTGCCCAAGCTGTGCCACAGGGACGCTGCACGAGCGGGTGCTGCACACACATCCCTGCCCACACCGCCCCTCTGCTCGTCCCCCCGCACCCCCATCCTGCCCCGTACCTTCAGCAGCCACTGGGTGCTGTTCTCCAGGATCCTCTCCAGGTGCCGCAGGCGCTGCGCAGCCCCGGCGGTGCCGGCGGGCGAGTCGCGCTGGAGCAGCCCGCTGGCAGCCCCGGGGGCAGGCCCGGGGGCGGCGGGGCACGGCGGGGGCTCGGCCTCGGGCAGCACGAAGGTGTAGCTGCAGTGGCCGTGCTGCACGCGGTGGTAGCGCCGGCGGCCGCCGCCCTCCAGAGCCCGGCGCTGCGCTCCGGCGGCGCACAGAGCCGTGGTGGCACAGGTCAGCGCCACCAGGCCGAGGCTGAGCGCCCGCATGGCCCTCACGGGGGTCCCCCCGAGGCCGGGGTGACACGGCCGGGGATGCTCGCTCCGTGCCGGGTGGGTCAGTGGGCGCTGGCCGCCGCCTCCGACCGCGGCGATTTCGGCATTTCCTCCCTCTGAGCCAGCGCTGGCCGCCCCGGCCTTTTATCGCCAGCCCTCGCAGGGGGAGAGGGGAGGAAAAAAAAAAAAAAAAAAAAAAAAAGAAAAACAAAGGAAAAAATCTGTTTAAAAACAATACTTCTATCTTTTTTCTTTCCTCTGGGTCCACTGCGGGGAGATCAAGTTTCACACGTGATCTATAAATGTCTCTCTCTCTCTCTCACACACACACACACACACACGCACACACACACACACGCACACACACACTCACACTCGCACACGCAGCCCCGTCCCTCCCCCGGGCGTTCTATGCACAACTCATCGCACGTCCCGGGGTGGATGGATGGATGGACAGCGCCAGGGCAGCACAGAGCGCTCCCAGCCCCGGCCCTGCACCCCGCGAGTGCCCCCGATCACCAACCCCGGCACCCCCATCCCAGGCTCCCTCCCGAGCCCCGGCTATTTATAATGCCAGCGGGAGCCAGGCCTGCATTTCGCTGCTCTGGCCGTGGGATGAGCCCGAGGGGACCAGGAGGAGGGAGGGCTGTGTCCTGGGCAGGACACAGACACAGCCTGACTGTGCTCGGCGTGCCCGATCCCGGCTGGGTCTGTCGGGGCTGATGACCCCAACCACAACTGGGGGTCACCACGTCTGGCAGCCCAGGGACTGGGATGGGATCTAGGCTGTGTCCCCAGAACGAGACAATCCTGGTGCTGGGAACAGGCTGCCAAGGGGATGTCCAAGCATCTTAGCAGAAGGGGATTTTCTCCAACACCCAGAAAAAAACCCTGGTGGTTCCCAATCCTGTGGAATGGCAGTCCCAGTGTCACACTTGCCGCTTCCCCCACTGCTGGCTCAGACAATGAGTAATGCTCATTAAAAACTTGAACTATAACTTGAACTAAAATTTTTCCCCAGTACCCCAGTGCTGGGGGGCCAGGGCAGGGTGTCCCCCCACAGGGACCGAGGTGCAGAGCTGTGGAATATGGGATTGCACCGTGGCCATCATGGCCAGCATCCCAAACACCCTGCGGCAGCAACTCGTGGGAATGGGGAAACAGGGACGCAGGAGCGATGCCGGGGGTTTAATCCATTTATTTGTCATGAAGCGATCGGAGGCGATGCTCGGGCAGCTTTGTGCCGGCTCTGGGGCTGGCTCGGTGCTGACACCCAGCGCTCCCGTGCTGAAGGGTCTGAGCAGCCCCCGCAGCCCCGACACCCCCGGGCAGCCCCGGCCTCCCCCTGCTCCCGCTCAGGGCGGGGACGGGGAGTTCACACCCCGGCAATCCCCAATGGCAGAGCTGCCTGCGGCTGGACAGCGATTGGAGCACTCACACGGTACATATCCCGACAGAGCCCTCTGTGCCTGGGACACACAGCGCGGCAGGGAGGGACAGACTGGGCTCAGCACCCCACGGTCACGGCCCGGTGATGGCTGGGAGGGGGCTCAGCACCCCACGGTCATGCCCTGGTGATGGCTGGGAGGGGGCTCAGCACCCCTCGGTCACGGCCCGGTGATGGCTGGGAGGGTTTGCAGCGCCGCTTCCAGCACATCCCAGTTTGGGGACACAGGATGCAGCAGCATCCCTTGCCTGGGCTTGCACTCACACTGTGCCTGTCCCTGTCCTAGACTGGATACAGACAGGGCCACCCCAAATTTCTGTGCCCACATCCAGCTGGGAGAGAAGCTCTTTGAGCCTCTCTGTGAGCCTGAGGATGGCAGGATTTGGCCCGTGAGGGTGCTGAGTGCTGGGCTGGCAGGACTCCAAGAATGGATCAGTCTGGAGGTCCAGCTGCCCTCCGAGCCCCAGGAGAGCAGGATTTGTCCCTTGGTTGTGCCAGTGGGGACACTGAGCACCAGGCTGGGCTGCTGTGAGCAATGGCACAATCCCCAGTGGGGCCCCAACCCAGGAGTGCTGCTGCTTCCCACGCCTGTGGCCGAGGATGGGGGACACTGTCCAGCACCTGGAGCAGCTCAGTGCTGCACTGTGCCCCCCAGCACTCCCATAAAATCAGGGCCCCGTGGAGCCAGGGCATCTCCCAGCCCTGGGGAACACTATCCAGCCAGGCATCAGCTTCATTAGCAGGGTCCAGCCCCAGTCTAACCCCATCCCACCCGTCTGGAGGAAGGGATGGAGCAGGCTAGAGCAGAAGGAAGACCAGAGGAATAAAGGAGCCACCCCCTCCCCAAGCCCTAGGGCTTTGCTTTGGACATTGCAAATTAGATTTTCTGAAAAGGAAATGTTTTACAGGCCATAAATTGTCTCGAAAGAAAAGGGGGATGGGGGGGCAGAGAAAATTGTGCAATTTTTTTTCCTTTTTTTTTCCTGTGGATGGAAAACCAGGGGTGATGTGGTTGGAGCACCGTGGCAGGAGTTGGCTGGGAGCTCCTGCCATGGTGCCCCAGCTCCCGTGCTGGTGCCCGCTAGGTGCCCGTGTGCCTCTCTGTCTTCGGCTTCTTCTGTCGCTTTTTGCCTTTATTTTTGGGTTCGGTTTTCTCTGCAACAGAAAAAGGAGAAGAAAAGGAGCACTCGCTCGTTGGCCAGGCAACATGATATGACCTGAACCTCATCCATGGGATGCTGATCCCGTATCCTCCCTCAAGGTGTTAGTGCTGGATGCAAGTTCTGATTTTGGTGCCCCCAGAGCCCCCTCCCAGGCATGAAACAGCCGTGTGGGTCTGTGGGGGTCTGGGTGTGCTGGTGGCATGGGCACAGGGACACTGGCGTGTTGTCCCCACATCTGCCATGGCTGGACTCTCACTCCTGGTACCCCAATATCCCCAGGAATGGGGTGGGGCAGCTCAGCCCAAGTGGAAGCTGCCTGGAGAAAGCCCAGCTCCTCCCTGAGCAAGGACTGTGGGTGCTGGAGGGGGGCAGTGGCTGCACCCACACCCCACAGCCATGGCACAGCCGTGCCCAGCTCTGCCCTGATGGGGAACCTGCCCTCCACCATGGGACCCAGACAGCCCTGGGGGGATTTGGGCATGCTGGGGAGCAAGGTGGCTTTGGGGTGCATCCTTGCACAGCTGCTAATTCTCTCTCCCTGTGGATGCCCTCCACGTGTGGATGGTCCCCATCCCAGTGGCACAACCACGTGGAGCCTGGCTGCATCCCAGGTTAACCCTGTGCCAGCTTTCCAGGGTCAGGCTGTTGGGGCACAAACCTTTGCTCACCCCAAGAAGCTGCCACACACCCTCCAGCTGGCTGAGACACCAAAAAAACAGGGATTCAGGATAAAACCTGCTGTGCCATGGGCTCCATGGATCAGAATGGTTGCCCCAAAAACTGGGCAGCTTTGTGGGTCCTTGCCCCCTCCTCCCACTCCAGTTCAGTGTTGTGAGGGGCACAAGGGACCACGACTGTCCCTGGTGCTGCGTGTGCCAGCCCTGCTGTCCCCATCCCTTCTGAGGGCTCCAGTTCTTGTCCTGGCTGGCTCTGAAGCCCTGTTTCTCAGCTCTGATCTCCAGACAGCTGCCACCCACAAAGGAGAGGGCACGGCACGCACGCCAAGCGTCTGGAGAGCGGGACAGACACCCAAGGCAGATTTACAGCAGCGCGAGGGGTTTGTGCCACGGCCAAGCGCGGCGGCTTTTCCCTTCCAGCCGCCTGGATGGCTCAGAAGTGGTGGCACAAATCTCTCATCACACGGTCGGGTTCGGCCGCCTGCCCTGGCTCGCCTGGGCTGGGGGTGCCTCAGATGCATCAAGTGAACTCCTCATCCTCCTCCAGCATCTGGATCCCATAAGCCAGCACTTGGCCAGGCGGGCAGGAGCCTGGGAGCGAGGGCAGAGACACGCTCTGCCGTGGCAGGGACTGCAAACAGCCTGCCCAGGAGAGGAGGACATGGAGGGGCTGCTCCCTCCTGAGGGGGTTGCCTGGGGAGCACTCATGGGATTCCTTCTGCTGGGCAGGGAACAGGCCTGTCTCTGAAGCTGATCCCAGACAGCAGCCTCAACAGCAGAGTCCTGCCAGTTCCTGGCCCACCACTGTAGCCCCACGGCTTCCAGCTTGCAGGAGCACAGGCAGAGGCAGAAGGCCAAGCATTTTTCTGAGGTGCCAGGGCCTTCCCAGTAACTTCACAAGACGAGGTGTCCCTGAAAGACAGGCACAGCACTTCCTGCCAGTGAGATGCACTCTGTGCCAGGCAGGGCAGGGCACGGGCACGGCGCTCCAGGACACAGTGCTCCGGAGCAGCCTGTCCTCCCACACTAAATTTCTTGCATCAAACTGTCACCAGCTCTGCGGGTCTGGAGCTGCCACACACCAACAGGGAGGAGAACATCCTCAAAATCGAAGCCACCTGGCACCCCAAAGACGTGAGCTGAGACCTGGGTGGGGAAGGGAATCAGCTCCTCTGCACTGTCAGCAGGAAAATATTACTTATGATTGATGCTGCTGGGATGAAACCTCTCTCCTGGCTCCGTGGCCCTCGCCCAGCACGCACGTCCTCTGCTGCTGCCCCCCTTCTTGATCCTTTTTCTCTCCCCCCCCCCGGTGTTGTCCTCCCTGATCCCCGCCACGCTGGCGGTGCCGGCCAGCTCATCCCAGGGCTCAGCGATCCCGCAGCTCGGAACCGCAACCCCGGCTGGCTCAGATCTGCTGCCAGGCACTTCACTTCGGTATCTCATGCATCCCCTTTCTGCCAGTTATTAAGTGGAGATTTATTAGGGTAGCTCCAGTCCAGGCGCCTGCATCCAAAAATGACATCAGCCCCGTCCTGGTTCCCAGCGCCAGCCCTGCACCCGTGCACGCACCGCCCGGACAGACCCTGCAGCCGGTCTGGTGTGGGAAAGGTGGGGGGATCCCTGAGCCAGGGAGCCCCCAGCCTGGCAATGAGGTGGGGGAAGTGCAGGAGCATGAGTGAACATCTGGCCAGATGAGCCATGGAGGGGCACTGTGCCCCGGGGTGTCTCCCAAAATTTTGGCCATCAGAAATCCCCTGGGTGATGCCCTCCTGCTCCACGAGCGTTCCAGCTTTTAGGGAGCTCAGAGGTTTTTGCAGGAACCTCCCCTGTGTGTCTCAGCCCTCCTTACCCACAGCTGCAGTACAGAAAGCCTCCCTTCACGTCGTGGCAGGATGGGAGCTGGAGCTTGGCAGCCTCATCCCGCCACGGCGGTTCGTGCCAGTGCCCAGCCCAGCCCAGCCCAGTCCAGCATGGAAGGGGACAATGGCTCGTCCCAGGCAGTCCCGGGGACTGCCAGGTGGGAGCAGCCAGCCCTAGGGCTGCTCAGCACATGTGCCTGAGATGACGGCTTTACCCAGAGTTTCAAAATGCTTGGGAGATGACAGCACGGTTCGCCGGCCACGGCCAGACCCCTGCTGCCACCGTCCTCCTGCAGCGCCCTCGGGCTCGCTCTGCAGGGACGCGGAGCTGTCCCCAGCCCCGGCGGCGCGGTGCTCACCTCCGGGGCAGTGCTTCTTCATGCGGCACCTCCTGGTCTCCAGCAGCGCGGGGCAGGCGGTCCCTTCCTCCCGGGCGGCCTCGGGCACCTCCCGCACCCGCGTCTCCACTCCCCACTTGCAGCCGCAGGTGCGGCTCTCGTGGGTGCAGGCGCTCCACTCGCTCCACGGGCCCGGCTCGCACGTCTCTGCAGGGACAGGCACGGCAGGGATGGATCGGTGACCCTCGGAGCCCGGCACATCCCCGGGCACGGCGGGCAAGGCTGCTTACCTTGGCACTCGCGGGTGCCGGGCTGTGCCGCGGTGCCGGGGGGACACTGCCGGAAGCACTGGCCCTTGTACAGGTAAAACTTGTCCTTGCACTTCATGCAGAAGTCTCTGCTGAAGCAGCTCTCGCAGCTGGGCGACCTGCACTCTGCCGGGAGGGACGGGCGGTCAGCGGGACCGCCCGGGGCACCGGGGCACCCACCGGGCACCCAAAACCTGCGGGCTCCGGGCTGCGGCTCTGGGCGAGGGAAAAGGGGACGAACCCCCCCAGTTCTCCCCCACCCGGATCCAGTGCCACCAGGAATGCCGTGGGAAATGAAGCCACTGCCCTTCCCGCGGCACTGGGACCCGCAGGGCGCCGAGGGGAGCAGGGGGACCCCGGCTGGATCGGGACGTACTTGTGCATCTGTTGACCTCCAGACCCCGCACACCGAAGTAGCCCGGGGGACAGGTGTGGACGCACATCCCGTACTGGCGGATGCCGTCCCTCCAGATGAGCAGGAAGAGCCGGTGGTGGCAGGTGATGCAGCCATTGTCCTCAGAGCACAGGACGCAGCCCGTGCAGTTCTCCAGCAGGCCAGCACTCGCTGCGGGGACAAACGGAGGAGAGGGGCTGTGACACAGGTGCTGAGGGGGGCCCCAGCCCCGTGGCCTCTCTCTGACACACCAGGGGGACAGTGCTGTCCTGTCTCCCTGCAAATGCCACCCCACCTCTCTCTGCTCCTCAGATCCCCACCTCTGTCCACGCTGAAGCCGAGGGACACACGGAGCCACCGCTCCCAGCTGGGTCAGCACTGATGGCCTCCAGCACTACAAGATCCAGACTGAGGGTTTGCCCATGCCCAGCACTGCCCGTGGGTGACAGCCTGAGCCACACCCCAAGCCAGCCTTGCCCGTCCCGTGGGAAGTGGAACAACCACTGGGTCAGCGGGTAGAAACATGATCTGACCTGGATTAATCAGTTGATGCCTCTTGAGTGTCAGAGGACAAAGGGCATTTTGGATGTGCTCAAGAGGAGCTGAGAAAAGAATCTCTCTGTTTGCTCAAGAGGCTCTGCTGCCTCCCTGGCTGCCTGAGCTGCACTCCCAGGCTGTGGGAGGGTGACTGACCCCAGCGTGGGTGACCTCTGTTCCCAGGGACAAGGACAGGGTGCCAACATCCACCAGGCCTCAGAGATACCGCCAACTGCTCCTGCTCTCTTTTTCTGACAGAAAAGCCACAAAAAGGAGCACTGAACCCCTGCATGCAGGCATCCAACACCTTCACCATGCCCCTTTGCTGGGAGCTGTTTGCTTGGCTCTGGCACCACAGCCTGAGTAGCAGTGACCGTGCCAGAAGCCCTGGTACAGCATGCTTGGGACCTGGGCTCTATAGCACCACAGAATCACAGAATGGTTTGGGTTGGAAGAGACCTTCAAATCATCTCAAGCCCCCTGCCATGGGCAGGGACCCCTTCCACTACACAAGGTCGCTACAAGCCCGAGCCACCTGCCGGGTGCTGCCCAGCACAGACAGAGACAGCCCTGGGAGCAGTGCCTGGCACTGGTCCCTCTGACCCCAGGAGCTGCACCAGAAGGGTCCCACGGCTGTGGGGCTGGGCCAGAGGTGCTGAGAGGCCGGGGGGATGCTGGCAGAGGATTCTGTCAGACGATGATGGTGGGCAATGCCTCACAGCCCCGTGTGCTGGTCCCTGGCATGAGCCAGTCCACGGTGCTGTGGTGCCATCAGCTGTCCCCAAGCTGGCTCATGCCAGTCCCTTCTCTGGGACACCCTGTCTGGATGGCAGCACTGCCAGGAGCCCTCATTAGAGCTGCATCTGCTGGGAGCACTAACGAAGCACCTTGGATCCATTAAGTTGTTATGGTCTCCGTTACATATTTACCAAACGCTGACAACATTTGTGTTCCTGGCTGCAGCTGGAGTGGCTTCCCTGGAGACCCGTGGATTTACGAGCCTCTTTCCCTTCCCTAATTCTTTTTGATATTTAGGGGTTTTTTGCTGCTCTCCTTCCACCTCCAGCCAGGCCAAAGAAGGTGGGGAGCCCTGGATGGGCTCCGGGGTCTCCTTCCTCTCACTGGCGTTGGAAATAATCCCATGGTATGGAGCTGGGAGAAGTGGGGGGATCCTCCTCCACTCCACAGTGCTGCTGGCATGGCACACACGTCTCTGCCACCAAGGGTGACACTGGGAGCCAGCACAGAGAACACTAGAATGTGGCTCACTCCAAAACCATGGGCTTGGGGATTTGGAACAAGTGGGGTTCATCTCCTCCTGTCCAGTGGTGATGGCAGAGGGCAGGGCTGAGCTGGGATGGGCACTGGGCATGGGGCACAGTGGGTACCTGAGTTTGCTGGGCATGGGTGTGACATCCCCCATCTCTGCCCACCCTGTGCCCAGTCCTGCAGGGAACCACGAGTCCCTGGGGCACTGGACTGCCCAGACCAGAGCTCCCAGTGGCAGTAGGGAGGCTGTGGGGTGTTCCAGCGTCTCTCGTGGCTCCTGGACCCTGTGCTGGCTTTTCTGTGCAGGTTATCCCAGAGTATATAACATATCTGGGGTGTGAAGCCACAGCCAGACCCGCAGGCTGCCAAGACCTGAGGCCTTTGGAGCATTGTGCTACCCAGCATCAAGCAGTGGTAGCTGGAGCCCCTCGTGGTGCTTGGCTGTTTCCCATCAGGGGTGTTTTGGCCCCCAGCCTGGCCACCCACATCATCACCCTCACCTACTGCCTCCGCATGCCTTTACCATGGAACAACTTCAAGGGAAGCCCTCCAGGCTCCAGCCCTGAGAGCCCTGGTCCTGGCAGGTCCTGCCCCTACCCTGGCACATGTTGGCCCCAAAACCAAGGCATTCCTGGCACAGAGCTGAGAACCAGCCCTGGACCCACTGCACACAGCCAGCTGGCACTGCCTGGCACTGCCTGGTAAGGGACGTGAGCCAGTGCCCAGTGGAGGGGGCACATGCCTTGCACAGCCCCAGCACACCCTGCCCTTGCCCAGGCACTGAGCAGGGGCTCAGCTGGTGCCTCTTCCCGGGGAAAGGATGGGGCAGGGGACAGGGGACAGGCAGTGCCTGCCGTGCCTCTGAGCATCTTTCCGGGAGGTTTTACTCCTAAGGCACTTAGTGTGCCATGCAGAGAAATGAATTATCAGAAAATCAGCCCATTTTTTTGCTATCCCCACTGTGTCTGGCTCTGCTGGGGTTTGCAGAGCTGGTCCCAGTGCCAGCCAGTGTCCCTTGTCCCCAAAGGCAGGGCTGGCACCGGGCAGGCAGGGCTATGGGGCTGCGCTCTGCATCTTCCTGCCCTGCCAAGCCAGCGCCGTGCCACGCACCCAGGGGGGAGCACAGACAGTCCCCAAAGGGCTCAAGGTGAGGGGTTGGGGGCAGGCTGGTGGCTGGCACCTCCAGCCCTGGTTCACAGCTCCTTCCTGGCAGGACAGGCAGCCCGGTGTCCCAAAGCCACCCCGCAGGAGCCGAGCGCGCTGCGCACACCGTACCTTGCTTCTTCCACCGGTTCTGCGTGAGCATTTCCATGGAGCTGATGAATAACAGCAACATGAATATTATCCACTGCATCTGGGCAGGAGTGGTGTCGGACAGGGGAGGAATCAAATCATCCAAGCGGCTGGAGGGCTCGGCTCCTGCCAGAGCCGGTGAGGGTGCTGGGAGGGCGAGGAGCAGCTCCGGGCTCACACCATCCCAACCCGAGCTTCGGACACACAGCCACACTCCAGGGCAGCTTCAGCCGGCGACAGTGGGACAGGCTGGAGCTGTCAGGCCCGGGGAGTGCTCATGGTGACGGAGAAGTGCTGGCTGCTCCAGGGAGCTCTGCCTTTATAGCCAGTGTCAGCCCCCTCTCCTCACCCTCCCTTTCAAAATAATAATAATCCTAAAAAAAAAAAAAAAAAGTAAAAAATCCCCCAGCAGCAACAAAGCGACTGGCAAACGCCCTGGCTGGATCCCCCCGGAGCTCTCCAGCCACCACCTCGGCTGGGAACCGTCCCGCCGTCCCGCCGCGGTCCGACTGTCCCGCTGCCATCCCAGCGCCGGGGTCACCGCGGAGCCCCCTGCGATTTTGGGGGGTGGAGCCACGAGGGTGACGCTGCCTGTGCCGGCCCCCCCTGCTCAGCCCCCCCGGTTCAGTTCCCCCATCTCATCCCCCCAACTCAGGTCCCCTGCTCAGCCCCCCCAGCTCAGCCCCCCCAGCTCAGTCCCCTGGATCAGCCCCCCAGCTTAATCCCCCGGTCCGAGCCCCCCCAGCTCATCCCCCCAACTCAGCCCCCCGGCTCAGTCCCCGCTCCGAGCCCCCGCAGGGCTGGGGTTCCAGTGCCCCCCCCGGGCAGGGCTGAGCCCCCCGGTCCCCGGGAGCCCTGGTGGGTCTCCGGCAGCTCCGGCGGCGGCCGCGGCTCTGCCCCGGCTGTGCCCAGGATCGCAGCTGACTCTGATTTTCCGAGCGCTTCTTAATTCACTCACCTCCCTCCGAGCTGCGGGAGCGAAGCTGAGCCGAGCCGAGCTGTGCCAAGCTGTTCCAAGCCAAGACGGGCTCACTGAGCTGTTCTGGGCTCCCATGTGGCTGTCCACACCCCTTGTTGCACGCTGTGCTCCCCAAAACCCACCCTTGGGGCTGTGCTTGAAGTGGGGTGCAGGACAGAGGGGGACACCTCACTGGCCAGGTACCCAGGTGACCCTACAGGCCCAGGTCCCCATCGTGGGAGCCCCACATGCTCGTCCCATCATCCCAACCCTGTGCCAGGAGCTGCACCCTGGAACAGCCTGGGGACCTCCCAGCCAGGGCTCCAAGGCCACCGGCCACCAGTGACAGCCCCAGCGACAGCGCATTCACTCCTGTCATCACCACGTGCAAAGCAGCACATGGTGCCCCTCTCCTCCCCCCAGAGAGGGCACAGAGAGACTTTCTGGGCACACAGGATCCCCCTGAGCACCCTGGGGCAGGTTATCATCCACCTGTTCATCCCACACGCCAGAGAGCTGCAGGGCTCCTTTCCACCAGGGCTGCTCTGGGTCTGCATCGCCTCAGATGCTCTGGGTCTGCATTGCCTGAGCTGGGGGTGCTGAGAGCCACCAAACTCATTGCACCAGAGGGGACCACCCATAGGGCTGAAAAGGATGTATCCATCTGTGTCCTGGGGTGTCCAGCCATGCCTGGGACAGTACATTGGGGTAATCCTCTCTACACTCTAATTTCTCCCTCCTGTTTCCCTGCTCTGCCCCCCCGAACCTCTCTCCCATCCGGCACTGCTGCATTTCATTCCTGAAGGGTTAATGATCAGACAACAAAGGAGCCATTTCAGACCCCTTTGGCCTCAGTGTAGGAAACCAGGAGTAATAACTGAGGGAACCAGGAGGAATAATGGTTGGGATCACTTCAGGTGGGGTTTTTTTTCTAATTATGAAATAAATTGAAAAATTACACATAAAATGCATAAATTGCAGCATCTGGCTCAGATGAAATTTCCATAAACAACCAAACCTGCAGCATGGCATCACCATCAGGAGTTTGCAAGGGCTGGGGTCCCTGTGGACATGGGGATGGTGCTGCCATCCCAGCACAGAAGAACAGGGACATGGCAATGGCACTGGGGATATCTGAGTGTCTCCAAACCCTGGCTGCAGGCAGCTGCATCGGTGTGGATGGCAGTGACTGGGATGTGACGTGGATGCCACAGGGCAAGGAGCTTCCACAGGGAGCTTCCACAAGCCCTGTTGGGCGCCAGCACAGCTGCCCTGGAGCCCATAGGGAATTTCCTTGTGCAGACCTGGAAGGCAAACACTGGGCAAGGGCCAGAGAAACACCTCATTGCGGGTCACGCTCCCTGGCTGCTGGCACGGGTGAGCGGATGTGGCACAAGCCGTGCCAGGGTGACCTGTCACAGGAGGACACACTAATTAGGCATCTCTCGTTAGTGCTGGATCCTGAGGGCACCACGTGGCCATTGCTCAGCCCATCCCCAGCTGTTTGGGGTCACGGGGGATTTGCCAAGGGTGGCAGTCCCCATGCCCCTGCTGCTGTGTGCCAGGCACCCCTGAGAGAGCAGAGAAACCCACACGTTTCCTTTAATTTGTCTATTTATGACAAATCCTGCTGTCGGCGGGAGGAGAGGTGGTGTCTGCTGTTTAACCGGGCACCTGGCAGCCCTGGGGGTTGGGCAGGGAGGGGTTTGGGGGCTGCGGGAGGGGCAAGCCCAGCCGATGGTGCCGGGGCTGACTCGGGGCTGATGCCGGGGAGAAGCGAGGCTGAGCCGCGGGTGCCGCCGGCAGCTCCCGGCTCCTCACGCAGCCCCGCTCCGCGCCAGCACGGAGGGAATGAAATGTTCCTCCTCCGTCTTCCAAAGCAGAAGGGAGAAAGTGTCCAGAAAGATAATTTGGAAAGTTTGTTTGACACTTGAGCACACTTTCATCTTCGGAAAAATCTTGATGACCTTCCAAAGCTGCACCGCCTGCTTCCCGGCACGGCAGGCGCCCCAGGGCACACGCCCGTGGCACCATCCCAGGGGCTGCTTTCGGGATGCTCTGGGCTCTGGAGGGGACAGCGTGGCCCCGCCGGGCCCACAGGTCAGCAGGGATGCAGTCACAGGGGTGGTGGCACAGGGATGCAGGTGCAGGGATGCAGGTGCAGGGATGCAGGTGCAGGGATGCTCCTAGCAAAGGTAATAAAGTGAAAATAAAACGTCTGGAGCTGGCTAGGAAGGGGCAGGGGGATGGAGGGAGCCCCTGGGTGAGGGCGGGATTTTCTCCACAGGTGCCATGAGCCCCCAGCAGCCACGAGGGCCGGGAGGGATCTTCCCCAGTGCATCCCAGGCGATGAATGTGGGTTTGATCAGGGGAGGGTTTGAGCGGATGGTAGTGGATAAGGAAGAAAAATACTTGGCATTCCTCTCCCATCATAACAAGCCCAGATGCTTGGACGGTGGCAGCCCACTTCCCACAGGAATGGAAAGTCACAGCTGCTCTCGCGCCAGTTCGGCAGAGGCCCTTTCCCTGCGCTGAAGAAAAGCCAGCTCCACCTCACGCTGCACCACAGCCCTTGCTGGCACCCCGTGACACCGCTCCCTCCATCAGCTGGGTCCCTGGGGGTGGCACTGCCCATGACCCCGCTCCAGGAGAGCTCGGAGCAGGGAAATGTGCTGGGAAAGGCCAAGTATGGATTTACTGCTGCTGTGGCTGGTGCTCCTTGTCACATGCCAACACGTTGGGAATACCTGGACTAGCACAGCCCTGCTGATGCTGTGGGAAGCATTAATGGGAAGCAGCTCCTGTCTGGTCAGAGCTGGTGGGAGCAACTCCAGCCTCCTGGCAGCCCAACTCACCACCTCCCATGCCAGCACAGAGCCAGTGAGGTCCCTCAGTGCTGGGGTGCCATCAGCTCTCCCAGATGAGAAGGAGGGCATGAAGGTGGCTGAGTTTAGTGCTGACATTGCCAAGTGCAGCCCACAGCATGCTCATGGCACATTTGCTCTTCCCTCCTCCTCCTCCTCTTCCTCCTTTTCCTTCTCCTTTTCCTCCTTCTCCTCCTCCTCCTTCAGCCATTTCTGGATTTGTGCCACCCGCCATTCCTGCTGTTCTCAAGGAATGTGGCATCCCAAGAGGCTCAAGATTTGCCATAAATCACATCCTTCATCCCAGAGAGAGCTCTGGAGCTCCATCTCTCTTCTTGGCTCCTCTGGCTTGCTCCAGTCCTGGACGCCAGCGTGGCTGCACAGCCTTCAAGTGCTCCAGCTGCCAAAACAGGAGCAAAGCCCAAAGAGGGAATTGGCATAGAGTGGCATGGAAGGCCAAGGGGCAGCGAGAGTAGGAGAGAGAGCTGGGAGGAAAGGGAAGACGAGCAGTGAGACGGGAGGGAAGGCTTGGTGTGGAAACTGAATTCCTGGTCCATGTCAGCAGAGCAGATTTCCAGTGTTTATTTTATCTCTTTACTTGAGCCCCTTTGAGGCAGAATATATTAAATGGCCTGACTTTATATAATGGAAATAATTGAAACAATACTCCTGCTTCCAGCCGCAACACGCCGTGATTTCAGCCAAGAGTGGCCAGCCTGCTCGAGGTGGTGGGGACAGCCGCCACCGCCGCCAGCAGCGCTTGTTCGCTGGTTATTGTTGACACATGTCAGCGTCGCCTTCCAATTTCCATCCAGCTGTCAGAGCGGGGAGAACGCCCGCGGCTGGCGCAGGGCGGGCTCGGCGCCGGCAGCACCGACGGGCGCGGGGAAGGACGGCATCCCCGCGTTGGGATCTCCGCTCCATGGGGCTGGTGGTTATCCCAAATGGAGGTGGTGTTGGGGCAGTGCACCCAGGTAGCCAGGTGAGGATTGTGGAATGTGGAGAAGCTTGGGAGGATGGAGGGTGTTGACCTGTTGAACTGGGATCTTCAATTCGCTGGAGGAGGCGAAAGGAGGAGGTGAATGTGAAGGCTCGGGGTTGTTGAAGGTTTTATCCAACTCTGCCCCAGCAGTGGGTGATGTTGGGGCAGGGAAAGGCCCCCAGCATCCCTGTGGGAAAGCACTTGCACCAAGCACCATCCTTGAAGCCAACATCAATCTCCATCCCACGTGAGCCACTGAAACTCTGTCGCTGAAAATCTGTCACTGAAAATCCGTCATCGCTCCTTGAGCGGAGCTGAAGGGATGAAACGAGCAAACATGGTGGTGAGGAGTCACCAACATTGAGCCAATAAAACAATTCCCATTTGTGAGCACTGCAGGGTTCCAGGGAAAAGCTGGCAGGAGGTGACAGGAAGAGCAACAGCAGGCAAGGTCTTCGAGGAACTGCGACATGGTGTGAAAAGGGCTCCAGAATCTCCTCCCACCATTGCAGCCACTCAGGTTGT